TTGTCTTTTTGGACTAAAAAATTGAGGTTGAAAATATGGATATTTGGGTTAACTTTTTGACTTTTTATGAAAAAAATGTGTATTAAAAAATTGTAAAAATTGATTTGTAAGAAAAAATTAGAATTGGGAATTATGTAGCCGTAATTGTTGACTTTTGATGAATAATGTTAACTTTTTAACTTTTTGAGTAACTTTTGACTTTTTAACTTTTTTACAAGTTTTCAAACTTGACCTAAATATATAACCAATAGAATTTGCAGGACACATCATATAGAATATGAGACGAACCTATTTAAGAGCATCTCCAATGCACTAGGCATATAATACTTGTTAGTTAAAATGCCTAGTGTGATTCACTTTTTTCAATTCCAATGCACTAGGCATATGATTAGGCTTGATTTTTTTTAATTGTAATATATTTGATTTTGAATTTTGAATTTTGAATCTCGTTTCAAATAAGAATAATTTAAGACATTATTGTTTCCTTTCAAGAGCAAAATTATTAACTTGATAAAAAATAAATTAGTTTAAAAAAAAAATTAAAAATTATTTCTACTCATCAAATATAAAATTATATAAAAATGATAAATCTTTTTTATTTTTACTTTTTTACCAAATTAATTTTTAGTAGTTTGCGTTTGAATGTTGATCATATAATGAGTGGTTTTTGTTGATATTTTTGGATTTTTATTATGTAAGACCATCTCCAACGGTTCATCAAACTTGATATCAAATTCAAAATTTGATGAAAAAGCTACTTTTTTGAGCTCCAATGGTTTCATCAAATCGATATCAAATCCAGAATTCAGCAAATTTGGTATCAAAATGAGAACAGGCGAAGCATTTTACGAAATCACTGTTCCTAATCGTTGGGAGAGACCAACCGGTCAACCAGCCGGTTGCTCGGCCGGTTGACCAACCGGTTGACCGCCTAAAGGTTCAAACGGTTCGAAGAAAAAGGTTCAAACAGTAAAAAAAAAAAAAAAATTTTTTTTTGCCTAACCGGTCGACCAGCCGGTTGACCACTAAAAGGTTCAAAAAGTTCAAAAAAAAAATCAAAAAAAAATCAAAAAAAAAAAAAAATTTTTTTTGCTTAACTGGTCGACCGACCGGTCGACCAATCGGTTGTCCCCAGCACAAATTTGATGAAAGTGCACCGTTGGAGCGAGTAGTATCAAATTGATAAAATGGATCATTTTTTACTCAAATTTAGTGAAAAATTTGATTCACCGTTGAAGATGCTCTAACCAATAGAATTTGCAGGACATATCATATAGAATATGAGACGAACCTATTTAATACCAATCATAACATAGCTTGGTCAGCCTTGACGTGTTGATTTACCTAAATGACATTGCTCCTCTTTGGGTTGAACGTGGAGTCTGCGTTAAATTTCCAATTGTCCAATTTAGCCCTCAATTGGTCAACGTTTAAATTATTGGTTTTCAAATTCCTTCGAGTTGGGCCTAATATGGGCCCGATGAGCCATCCATAATTTATAAAATTCAGAATTATGATTTAAGCTCGAAAGATTGAGCCGTGTTTGGAAATAATATTTCAAACCCTACTCACTTAAAAACGCACCAAATGAATTATAGTTTTTTATTTTAAAATATGAATTTTTTTTTTATACTAAATAGTATTCGGGCTATGTGAATGGATTTGAGATCTTTTATTTTGTTTTGGACAGATTTGGAATAAGGTATAATTTGTATTTGGTGTTCAATGCCTGTTTATGACTTGAATGTTAGACCATATTGTATTTTTAGTATAGTTGAGGTGTTTGGGAAGAAACTTTTTTAGCTAAAATATCGACAAAATAGATTAAAATAGTCAATAAAATAAAATATCACATCAAACTTACAATAATTTCATTTTTTTTCTTACAAACATCGTATCAAACTAAAAAAAATTTAACTATCTTTCTAAACATAAAAATTTTAACCTCCTAAAATAATCAAAAATTAAAATAACCTACTAAAATAGCAACTTTCTAAACACCCACTAAATCTCTTTGGAATAATTCAGATTGATCCAAAAAGACTATTTTGGAAAACTAATCAATGTGGGGCTGGCCCTCCATTGATTCACCTTTAATGTTAGCCCTGATTAGAGAGAGATTGTGATTGTCTTTGTCATTGCCTCTCCATAAAAAATGACTTCGAGCCATTTGTATCCGGACACAAGGCAAGAATATCCTTAAGCTTTAGGACAAAATAGATCAACTTTATAAGGTGGTCATTTGGCACTTTAATTTACTTTTTGTCAATAATTATTTTCTTGCATGATATTACTTAAGTCTTTAAATTATGATGGAAGGTTGGTTAGGTTTCAGGGTGTGAAACGCTTTGCAAACCACTGGGCTAATTAAATTTTGTCGGTTTCTTTTATTTTGAGGGTGTTTGAGCTTTGCTTGTTAAAAATAATGGAGTTTGAGTCAAAAAATTGAGTTAGACAAGAAAATTAAAACTTAAATTAATTAAAATTTAGAAGATTATGAGCAAAATATAAAACAATATTCATATTAATAATCAACATCATCAAGTGAGCCTAAAAAATGGGCTCGAGCTCATTCATTTAGCAAACGAACCGAACTGAAATGAGATTAGATGAGCTTGAGTTGTTCACGAATTGTTCGGTTTGTCTGCAACCCTATCTATGACCCACATCCGTATGCACGTTTCTTAAGTTTATGTAGAGCATTTTGCTATTTTTTGAATGTGCTATAATTTGGTGTAGGTCCCTGGAGAGGCAGAAGAGGAGTTTGCTCGTGTTGACACTACAAGACTAATGAAGAAATTTCTGACATCTCGCAAACCAGGTCCACTTTGTGTACCTAAACATGTTGGGTTTGGTGGTTCACCCAATTCTCCAATTGTGTTGCCCTCTTGGCTCACAGAGGAAGACGTCAATTATTATGCCACCAAATTTAATCAGAAAGGTTTCACTGGTGGTCTGAATTACTATCGAGCTTTGGACCTGTAAGTTTCATTTGATGCTTTCTCAAAACTTTTGTCATCTTTTGTGATTAATTATTTAAAAATTTTAAATGCACAGTATTGGATTGTAAAATGGTTAAATTATTAAAAGTAAAAAGATAATCATTCCTCTTTCACTATAAAATTCCAAAACAATTCATACCCTTTTGGAAGGAGTGTATGGTTATAATTAAGGAGTGCCAATAGCACTGTCCGGTTTTTATCATATTATTCTAGTGGGTTCTATTTTAACTATCCAAGTTTCATTACTACATATCGTATATGTGAGTTAAAAAAAAGGGGTCAAATTTATTATTTGCGTAACAATTTCCTTACTCAGTATTCTTGTACTAGAGACGCTTTTCTAGATGGCATACATATGAAAATAGAATCTAGGAGCCTGTATATTCAATTACATCCACAGAGGAGACGTGTTGCAATAATGTTGAAGCACATGTATGTTTGTATGTTTGACTCGTACAGTTGCAATATTTTTGAATTATCTGATATATTTGTTCAAACAGAACAACAACCTATTTCAAATCTTCCTTGTATGATAATTTGTGTGAAACAAGTATTTGAATATGCTAGGTTTTTAGTTTGAGATCCACGATTAGGGATGAAATACAAGGCAAGTAGTTTATTTTCTTAGTTTGTTACAGAAATTGGGAGCTAACTGCACCGTGGACTGGGTCACAAATAAAGGTGCCAGTCAAATTCATCGTGGGCGATGAGGATCTGACCTATACTACCCCAGGTGTGAAGGAATTTATACATGGTGGCGGTTTCAAAAGAGTTGTTCCATTTTTACAGGAATTAGTCATAATGGAAGGAGTAGCTCACTTTCTTAACGAAGAAAAGCCCGAGGAAATCAATGCACACATTTATGATTTTATCCAGAGGTTTTAATCCAAGTTTGTTTTCTTTTCTCTCCATACCACATTGTTGTTAGCTTGCTTAGATTTCATGTTTTGTGTGGGGAATATGATATTTTCTTGTAAAAGAATAAGGGATTTTGTACAATTTAATCCATTATTGTTAGGAGAAATTGGAGGCATATATGGTTCTGAATTACTAATGCAGTGAAACTGTTGGATGCTAATTTATTTTTGGAGAAGATGTTATGTTATTCTGAGATCATTCTAGTTGGAAAGATTTATGTTCGTTCATTAGTACTCTTACTGAAATCATATTTTATAAAATTATAAAAGGGTCTTAGTTATTGAAAGTAGATGATAGTTCTAAAATGAAGGATTGAATAGAGATATGTTTCATATAGTTTGTTAAGATTCTTGTACAAATAGAATTTTGTATGTAATAATTTTAAATAACTATTTTTACAAAGTGATTTGAAACCCATCATTATGAAGCTCTTAATTTCATTATTGATGTTTAAATTCAAAACATTACATTGACTTCAAAAGGTTATACTCTCAAATTATCGATATCAAATTTATCCATTTCAAATCCAGAGAAAACTTTAATTTTTTGACTAATAATACCGAAATTAACAATTATTTAATAGAATCACTAGGCATGAACTACATACCAATTATAGTTTAATAATATTTTAGTTTTTAATTTTTAATTTAGATTCTTAATTCTCTTATTTTATATTCCAGCTCTCTATCACACTAAATAATCTTCCACATACAATTCAAAAATATTATTTTATTTTATTTTCTTAGTCAAAACATAAAATTCGAGATTAAATTAGAGATCCATTGCCAATTAATAGTTCCATTTTTGTGAAGTCAAACAGCCGTCAACAAAAAAAAAAAGAAAAAAAGGGCCATCACTGTCGCCCACTTTAATTAGAAGTCGTTCACAGATCATTCAAACAAGTACATTGAAATTTAACGTGGTAGGTGGGGTGCACACTACACTTTTCATATTTAAAATTTGCGGATGAAGTCAACAATGTGAGCGCTAATTTGCTCTGGCTTTTCTTGATTAAGAAAGTGAGCCACTCCTTCCATCACCACCACCTCTTTCAGATTCGGCACCTCCTTCTTCAACCCGCCATTTATATATTCTTTTGCTCCGGGAAGATTATAAGTTATGTCCAGATCACCGACTATAAATTTCACTGGTACCTTTATTTGTACTCCGGTCCATGCCGCTGTCAGCTCCCAGTTTCTGTTCTCGTGACAAAATACATAAATAAAATCATATTAGAAACGAAAATATATAGACACCAATTTTATTACAGTATTTCTCACCCTCCTCTCTCACAAGGCGCCACGTTTGCCAATTCTTCTTACAAGGCGATTGTGAACCTCACTGGTGAGTGCGGCAATCAGAAATGCAATGATAGAGTTGGTATCTTTTTAAGTGTAGCCTTATTACTTAAAATTCTTCAAATAATTGTTCTTAAATTTATCTCTAATAATGTTGAGATTGTCACAAAAAATAACATCCCATAGACATGACCATCTAAGAAACAAAAATGAATGTTAAACAAGCAATATAAACATAATATGACTCCGTTCGAAAAGGTAGGTTGTGGGCTTTCTTAACTATTTTAGTCATAAAAAATAAAATAAATTATTTTAGTCACAACAAACAAAACATCACATTCAATTCATAATCATTACACTCTTCTCTCATAAAAAAAAGTCAAAAAAATCAAAAAATCAAAAAATTCTTCCCAAACCAAATTTTTTAATTCAAACTAAAATAATCAAAAAAATCAAAAAATTAAAAAACCAACCCACTTCCCAAACCAAACCTATATAAATTTATACATCATTAAAACCTACTACAATGCCCATGGGCAATTACAAAACATGTCCCATCACAACTTTAGATTTTAGTTATCAACCAATCAAAGATTAACCTTATGTGGCGTTGGAGTAAATGTAGGTTTCTATAAATTTTTTTCTGAAAATAATAAAAAATTCACAAAACAAGAAAAATCAATTTCAATCTTGTGCCCTAACAATATTTAGACTATATTCAGATCATGATTTTGAGAAATTTCTTCTTAAATTCAGGATTCAAACACAAGTTTAAGATATGGTAGAATGTATTTATTTTTTTGACCAAAAAAAAAAAAGAAGTGAAAAAGATTAGATTTGCTGAGTAATTTGCAATGAAAAATAAAATGAACAAAAAAGAAAAAAAAGATTAGGTATTATAAACTTAAAACACAAATAAAAAATCCACACATTCAAAATAAACTTGCAAACAAAATATTAAAAAAAAGTAGGCTTACGTACAGATCTAGAGCTCGATAGTAGTTGAGTCCTCCGGTGAAGCCTGTCTGGTTAAATTTTCCAGCATAGTAATTGATGTCTTCCTCAGTCAACCATGAGGGCAATGCAATCGGAGCTTGAAAAATGGCCTTGAAATCCAACTCTTTAGGCAAAACAGGGGGACGAGTATCCCGTGATGAAAGAAATGCACTTATTATATTCCCAGTATCACAGCTAGCAAATTTCTCCTCCACCTCTCCAGGTTCCTAAAATCACAGATCAATACATCATTGATCAATACTCATCATCAACAATTTCACACAAATAATAATCATCACCAATTGTTAATCTATACTCAAATTCATCAACGATTTTACACAAAAAAAAAAAAAAAAAAACATATAATAATCATCAGCAAACAGAGCTCGAGAGATTGGGGATGAAGTCAACACTCATTATCAACAATTGTACACAAAAAATTCATTCAATAATCATCACCAAACAAAGCTCGCAAGATTGGAGATGAAGTCAACACTCATTATCAACAATTTTAAACAAAAATTCATGTGATAATCATATCGCCAAACGGAGCTCGGAGAGATTAATGACACTCATTTATTATCAACGATTTTACACAAGAAAAAAGAAAAAAGAAACATATAACAATCACCTGAAATCTGCACATATAGTAATCGTCGCCAAACAGAGCTCGACATGACCCCATAAACTGTCCCGACATTGATTCCGGTTAGCCTCTCCAACGGTCCGACATGACCCCATAAACTGTCCCGACATTGATTCCGGTTAGCCTACAGTGTCCTCTACCACGTTATGACACCACCATACAGTGTCCTCTACCACGTTATGACACCACCATACAGTGTCCTCTACCACGTTATGACACCACCATACAGTGTCCTCTACCACGTTATGACACCACCATACAGTGTCCTCTACCACGTTATGACACCACCATACAGTGTCCTCTACCACGTTATGACACCACCATACAGTGTCCTCTACCACGTTATGACACCACCATACAGTGTCCTCTACAGTAGGTGAGGAGTAGGTGAGGAGTAGGTGGTGGTAGGTGATGGTAAATTGGTGGTAGGTGATGGTAAATTTTAACAGCCCCCCGCAAACTCAAGGAGGATAGAAACTAACCAACTTGAGTTTGGAGAGAGGAGCAAAACAAGAAAATACATAAAAATAAAAAAAGATAAAAAAGATAGGAGACACTGTATGGTCGTGTCAGACCGTTGGTGAAGACTCTGAAAGGTGGTGCCATAACGGGGTAGAGGACACTGGATGGGTGTGCCATAACGGTGTAGAGGACACTGGATGGTGGTGTCATAACGGGGTAGAGGACACCGTAGGGTGGTGTCATAACGGTGTAGAGGACACTGTAGGGGTGTGTCATAACGTTGTAGAGGACACTGTAGGCTAACCGGAATCAAAGTCGGGACAGTTTATAGGGTCATGTCGGACCGTTGGTGATGCTAACCGGAATCAAATGTCGGGACAGGTTAAAGGGTCATGTCGGACCGTTGAAAAAGCTAACCGGAATCAAATGTCGGGACAGTTTATAGGGTCATGTCGGACCGTTGGAGATGCTAACCGGAATCAATGTCGGGACAGTTTATGGGGTCATGTCGGACCGTTGTAGAAGTTGACCGTTGAAAAAGTTGCACCCTCAAAAGGTGTGCCTAATTTTGTCAAAAGGCGTGCCATCAAAAGGCGTGCCCAATTCATCAAAAGACGTGCCGGACATGATGGCGAGGCACGTGGGCGCCTTGGCTTGCGCGCCCGTGTTGTCGGCTGGTGGAAAGAGGCGCGCGATGCGCGTGGCTGCCTCTGCTATAAGACAGAGGCTGAGGCTGAGGCAAAAAACCTGCGAGAGAAATTCTGAGAGAGATTTTGGAGAGAGATTCTGTAACACTCTGTTTTCTGAGAGAGAGTTCTGAGAGAGATACTGTGTAACACTCAGGTGCCTAGAAAATGGCTTCATCGTCTTCCCGTGGTCTGCTCACTCCTTTTCCCGACCTCAACGAGTCAACAAGAGAGATAACTGGTGCGGTGGCACTGGAAACTCAACCAAGCGCCCTGGAGTTTGCTCCGTTGAACTTTCCTATGCGGTCTGTGGAGCAAAAAATGGCAGTGCAGTCGGATGTGGAGGCCAATCAGTATACGTTGAAGTCATGTGTGGAGACCATGACGGCGGTCACAAACCTGTCGCATCGGCTACAGAGTAGGACAAATGAGGTGCAGCAGTTAAACGCCCAGCTAGCTCTGCTCCAACGCATGTATAAGGATGCGCGAGCAGAGATAAGTATGCTAAAGGCGGAAAACAAAGAGTTGAAGCGGAAGGCCACCGTGATGTTCCGATTTGGAGGGCCGCCATATGCTGCAGTGGAGGAGTATAGGGGAGTGAACGTGCTCGGCGGCGTGGAAAACACGGAGGCAGCACCGTCAAGGACTGTCCAAGACGGAGGCAAGAAGAAGAGATCTACAGCAGAGTAAAGGAGAAAAATCCCACTGTGGGTGTGGGTATTTTGTTTTGTTTTTGTTTGTTTTTTTTGTTTGTTTTTTTGTTTGTTTGTTTTTTTTTTTTTTTTTTTTGGTGTAAAATGGTGATCGGGGTTGATCCCCGGCAGGAAGAAATGACAAGTGTGTGGAATGTTTGTGGTGTGATTTTGGTGTTGTTGTGTTGTAGAATAATAAAAATAAAATAAAATAAAAAAATATATAAAAGACAATATTTGTGGAAGGGTGATTTGAGAAAGATCGGTGTGAGGTTTTTTTTTTTTTTTTTTTTTTTATTATTATTTATTATTATTATTATTATCGTGGGTCACATGGGTTGACAAGTGGACTGGTGTTGGTTCTGTTTTAAGAAAAAGAAAGATAAAATAAAATAAAATAAAAAGAAAGTGGGGTGAATGATGGGTTGTATGAAAAGATGGGAACAAGCCCATGTGGGTTAGGGAATTGCGATGGGTGGTGGAAAAAGTAAAGTGAGAGAGTGAGATGTGTGGGTGTTTCCGAGAGATGGAGAGAGGTCTAGCTTGTCTGTGTGTGTCTTCAAGAGGGAGTTTACTCTCTCTTACCCTCCATCTCACAGCAGCCATGATAATTCCAGAGAAGAACCGTAAAGAGATCTGCAAATACCTCTTCCAAGAGGGAGTTTGCTATGCGAAGAAGGACTTCAACCTTGCAAAGCACCCAGAGATCGATGTTCCAAATCTGCAGGTGATTAAGCTGATGCAGAGCTTCAAGTCGAAGGAGTACGTGCGTGAGACCTTCGCTTGGATGCACTATTACTGGTACCTCACAAATGATGGGATCGAATTCCTCAGGACTTACCTCAACCTTCCTTCTGAGATTGTGCCCGCTACTTTGAAGAAGTCTTCACCATGTTGAAGAACACCATCCTCTGGTGCAAAGATTTCAGAATCGAGTCCCTGGTTGAAGAAGATCTGGGGACTGAGCTCGATAAGGTGGTTTTCATGCATGGATTCGACAAAGAAGGACACCCAGTTTGCTACAACGCTTATGGGGAGTTTCAGAACAAGGATTTGTATCACAACACCTTTTCTGATGAAGAAAAGAGACAGAAGTTCATCCGATGGAGGATTCAGTTCTTGGAGAAGAGCATCAGGAAGCTTGATTTCAGCCCAGATGGGATATGCACTTTTGTTCAGGTCAATGATCTCAAGAACTCTCCAGGACCCTTCAAGAGGGAGCTCAGAACATCCACCAATCAAGCCCTCCAATTGCTTCAGGATAATTACCCTGAGTTTGTCGCCAAACAGGTATGATTAATTTGCTTCAATTCATTATATAATTTTATTTTTTGTATTGTATTTTTCATGGATTTCAAATTTTGTTCAACAATTTAGACTAAAAGCTTGATTTTTTAATCGAATTTTCATGAAATCTTTTTTTTTTTAAAACCTAAACTATTCCAAAACCCTCTTTTAACCCATTCAGGTGGAAGAAAAACCATCTCCAATCCTTCATCTTTTAACAGTTTCATCAAACTTGAATGAAAAAAGGGTTGTTGGGGAAATTTAGTGAAATATTTTTTTTATTCGTACCCGATTTAATGAAATATTTGGTTAAAACTTGATTGGATACATGTTTCATGAGAGGATTGAATTTGACGAAGGATTGTGAATGCTCTTCTTTCCTGATGGTGTTATTAATCTGATCAATATTGTTTCATGCTGGTACTTTGCATGGACATGTATATTTGTGTTGTGGCTGTCTTGGTATTAATTGATGGAAAATATAGATGTTCCTGCTTTTTGATGGTGCAGAGGTGTTAAATGAATTTTCCTAGAATGGTACTTTGCATGCATTTATTGGTTTCTTTTGGGTATTAATTTGGGGCTTTTGTTTTGAGTGGTATTTAAAGATGTTCATCAATGTTCCATGGTGGTACCTGGCCTTCTATAGAATGATCAGTCCTTTCTTCACCCAAAGGACCAAGAGCAAGTTTGTGTTTGCAGGCCCTTCCAAATCTACTGAAACCCTCTTCAAGTTAGTAATTTCTTGTTTTTCTTTTTCTTTGCTTAATATGGATCTTCTCTCTTATGCATATATCTCATTCTGGTGTGTGTTTTGATGATGATGATGATGATGATACAAAAATAATCAGATACACCGCGCCTGAACAAGTACCAGTACAGTATGGGGGGCTTAGCAGGGACGGCGAACAAGAATTCACCACTGCTGATGTTGTCACAGAGGAGACTATCAAGCCCGCAAGCAAACACACCGTTGAATTCCCAGTTTCTGAGGTGGGCCTGCATGCCTTTTCGATTTCAATCAATATCAGTGCAAATGAGCTTTAATTTTTCTGGGCATCGTTAGAAAATATATAAATATGTTTTGTAATTGCAATTGTAATTTGTTTCTTGGATTTGCAGGCTTGTACTTTGGTTTGGGAAGTGAGAGTGATTGGATGGGATGTGTGCTATGGAGCTGAATTTGTGCCTGGTTCTGAAGGCGGATACACGGTGATTATACAGAAGTCGAGGAAGATTGTACCAGCCGACGAAACCGTGGTCTCTGGAAGCTTCAAGATTGGGGAAAGTGGGAAAGTTGTGCTCACATTTAACAACCAAACCTCAAAGAAGAAGAAGCTACTCTACAGGTCCAAGACCAAGCCTTCTTCTGATTAAAGAGCTCAAGAATTAGCTCAAAATATACTCATATCTCAGTGCCCAAACAGGTTCTTATATACACATCAAACTGGTTCTTATGTGCACATCAAACTAGTGTTTGACCAAGCAGGTTCTTATATACACATACACATCAAACTGGTTCTTATATACACATCAAACCCAGAGAAAATTTTCTCTGGGTTCATTTTGACCAATTTTCTCTAGGTTTTCAAATTTCTCTGGATTCATTTTGATCAATTGAAGGCCGGTAAAGTTAGAGAAATTTTCAAATTTCTCTGGAATGTTGAGTCCAGGAGAGGCAGGGAAGGCAAAGAAATTTAAAATTTCTCCGGAGATGTAATTTTGTGGAAAGGTAGAGAAATTTCTCTAGGAGAGTGGGAAGTATATGGAAGGCAAAGAAATTTGGAGAAGGTGAGGGCAGAGAAATTTACAGTGGGAAATTTCTCTGTGACGTGAATTTTCTCTGAACTAATTTTCTCTGGACTAAATTTTTCTGGACTGAAATTTCTCTGGACTGAAATTTCTCTGGATCAATGTTGAGGGACCTTAGACATTATGAAAATATTGAGTGTCCTTTATGCTGTAAAAATCTTAATACCAGGGACCTTAAAAAAAATTCCCCTTTTAGTTTTCTTTAATCAATTTTTTTAAAGCACAAAGTTCTGTGCTTTTGAACTAAATAATATTTTTTAAAATAATTTATTTTTAACATTATGCATATTTACATTTTTTTTTTCTTCAAAACATTTATAACAAAATAAACAATAAGAAAATATATATGCATGTATATGTGTGTTTTAGGGTTTGAACTCAAACATTTGTCAAAAGGTCAAAAGTCATTTATAGTGAAATTTTGTTAATGGTCTGAATTGAAATTGATGGGTATGGCTCAGGAGGGCCCAACCCGTAGTCTGGGCGGGCCACTCAAATGACCATTCGATTAATTATCATCATAAAGCCCAATAGTTGGCTCAATTAGAGAGCCCATGGCAATCAGACCTAATTACCGATTGGGTACATGTCAAGCAGGAAATCGGCCACATGGTAGACAAAAAACCTTACAACCCACTAGGCCCCACGTGCCAAGTATTAAATGAGACTGTCAAGCATTAAATGTTATAAGGCCCTCTCCCTTTGCGGCGTGGTGAAACCGCCATGGCCGGCGATGAGTAAGACATAGACTTTTGGCCAATAGGACAGTGTGAATAGGCAGGGGAATGATTGGCAAGAGATATAGGGAAGCTGAAGGCCATATGGTAATGGATTACTTGCTCACTTTCTGATACTACTCTCTCAATTCTCTCATTTCTCTCTAAGCCTCTTCATTCTTCTTAGCTACGTCACTAACTTGATCGTCGGAGGGTCCTCACGAAGGAACCACCCCCACTTTGGAACCTTTCTGCTAGACTTGTCGTAGGTACTACTGGGAAGACAAAGGCCAATTGACTCGTAGAGCATTTAGATCCTATCCGACCCATCTCCTGCAGACCGAACTGCATCATTAGAAATTATTATTAAAAAGTATAATTCATTTAAACCACTCTGAGACACCGCCAAAAACATATATAAAAATCAATTAATAATAATCAATATATATTGAGTTAATTGAGCGAGCTTAAAATTTAGAATTTTTGTAGGGTTAAACTTAGGATGAATATATTAGTCCGAATGTCATGTTAAAGTTGAGTTGACACATCATATTTCTTTGTAGTTCAAGCTCAATATGACCCTAGCTCAGTTGAAACCTCTATACCAAATATACTTAGCAGAAAATTCACCCAATCAATACAAAACGTTGATAACAAAATATCCCTTAATGAAATTTGGCATTCTTTTAACAATTAAATTTTAATAGTTGGTTTAAGATTATTTAACTATTTTTGAATTAATAGAAATTTCTTTATATAGTTCAAATAAATACAATAAATTATTTATTAAAACGATACGAACTTTCATTCCGTGCATAGCACGAGTTTGTTACTAGTACTATATATAAAGTAAAAGGACCTTTCTAACAATTAGGGCTCTAGGAATTCCAAAACTTCAACCCAATTAATAATTGGCAATTATGTTGATTTTTTTTTTATTATTTTTTTAAATATACATTGGCTACTAAAAATTAGAATTTAAAAATTAAATTTGTAGACAACAAAACATTAACGGAATGGTCACATATAATTTTGGGATTCAAATTGTTAAAGTTTACTTGACAAATTACACCTATGATTCGGGGAATTAGTTCCCACAATAAAGCTTACCTAAATCTCTTCCTAAAATAAAGCTTACGTTCTAAATCTCTCACTGCTTTCATATAAATTTTTCTCTCACACGTCTCCATTGCTTCATCTCTATAACAAAAATATTCTTTACACCTCTCTTTCTCTTTCTCTTTCTCTTTCTCTATCAAAATAGTGATTTTTAAAATTTCATTTGTTGTTTTGCAATTATTTTTGCGCCTTTCATTCAGGCTTAGTCTCTGGCCCTCATCCATGTTAGTCTTATTAGGTAATTGACAAATAGTTAATTTTTACATGTTTGTTATTTCTAGGATATGTGTTTGTAAAAATTTAGTTTATGCCTAATCAACAGTGATTAACTTAAATTAATTTTGACACAAACACAAAAAAGATCAGACTTGTGATTGAGTTTTATACCTTAAACAGGTTAAAGACTTCCTTGGAGGCAATTAAATAAAGAATAAACATAACATAATATGTATTATTCAAATAAATTGTCACTTGCTACAAGTTGCATGAACTTAAATAAGAACAAAGAATTGAAAAATACAATAATCGATAGAAGAAAAGAAATGGGAGTTGGAAAAAGCTATCACTAATCTACTCTTAAAATTGCTAATTTAACTACTCCTAATTGGATATTCACGAATTGTGAGTGGTTTAGATTATTTTTTTCTTTGTATCTATCTTGGCCTATTTATAGGCTCAGCTACATGAGAGCAAGAGATATAATCTAAGCCCACGATTTCCTCAACAAGCCCATAATTTCTCAATATGCCATGATTTCCTCGACATTATCCATACCTCATATTTGATAGGAACCACTTTGCAGATTTTGTGTTTGACTTGATCTTGACTCCTTGATCTAAGCAACTAACTTTCAAATGGCTGCAATGGCTAACTCTTCTGACCCTCCATTTGATACATCATCATGCCACCTCATTGACACACTCATCACGCCACGTCAACATTCCTTAAAAATTATCTGCGATATGCGTGCCTGATTACCACTTTATACTTCTACTTTTTTGCACAATAAAACAATAATAGTAAGATTAATTGTGGCTGACTGACAGGTGGTCAATTCTTCTCTGTTGATAGGACAAATTTGGGGTTACTGTTGTAATCCCTCACTAATGTGCCTCTACTGTATTTTGAAATGACTCTGTTTCATTTTATGTATTTATTAATTTATTTTTTGGAGTAGTAAGCTAGGCTACTCTCCCGTGCATCCTTCCAAATTAAACCAAAATTTGTAGTGCTTTTGATTTTCTTGGCGCTACAAACCAGGTTATCTTCTTTCCTTATAGTTTTCTCGAAGTTGTTAGCTTCTAGGTGTTCATAAGTACCCTCCATCTTAGAGCTTTTTAAATCTGCGTGGTTTTAACTGTCGAATCTCCAATAGATTGTGCCAAAGACCACACTAAAAAACTTTTGTCTTCAATGAATGATCTTAGAGCATCATCAAAATTTTCATTAAATTTGAGTAAAAATTTGATTTGATATGATGAGCTTCAATCGTTCATTAAATTTGATTGGCCATCCGGCCGGTCGTTCGGCTTAAAGTAAATTTTCATCAAATCTTTCCTAATCTTGTCGTCCACCCGGTTGTCTGGAAGGTCGTCCACCCAGTTGACCGGCCGGTCGTCCACCCAATCGTCCACCAACCGTCACCTACAAAATTTGATGAAAAGTTAGACACTCCCTTGATTTGATGAAAGTTTTGGTTTTGCCTTCATTTGATATGAGTTTGATGATACGATTCGAACCCAAAAAGTAAATGTTTTTCGTCAAATTCAAATTTGATGAAATATCTGACTATCTCCAACCCTTACTCAGATATTTCATCAAATTTGAATTTGACATTTTGATGAAAATGCCTTACTTTTGGATTTCCAACCGTGTCATCAAACTTATATAAATCCAAGGCAGAAATCAAACTTTCATCAAAATCAAGGGAGCATTTAACCTTTTACTCGAATTTCGCAGGTGATGGTTGGTGGGACCGAACGATCAGCCAAATCAATCGAGGGATGACTAATTTAGGGAAGATTTTGATGAAATTATTCTAGGCAGGAATGACTGGCCAGATGACCCAAAACAAATTGGAACGCATTTCATATCAAATTAAACTTTACTCAAATTTCACATGAAAAATTTGACATGAAAATCAATTAAGCGTATGCCTGCCTTCCACTCAGCATAGGACACTCCTAAACATTATATTTAGTCACTGTGATGTCGCTTCATAAATGCACGTAGTATATTATTACTCAATAATAATTGTATTTAATAATGATATATACTTATCCAAATTCGAATCGAAGAGTGATGTTATAGATATTTAAATTCACGTATCAATATTTGTTAGAGTAATAGCTACTAACAATATCTTATTTCTAACCTTTCTATCATCGCATACATACCACTCTCTTATCAAGTATTACAGATTACTCCTTAACTCTCTTCTTACAACCTCTCCACTCACCAGTTATGTTAGTTGTTTATTAGTGAAGTAGCTTTAAACGAAAATGCTCAAAGTTGTTATGCATTAGAAGTATTAGGCAAGTTATTAGAGAAATAGAATTTAGCGAGTCTTTATTTCCATCAAACAATCCTCTCGAAAACTATCTATAAATCTAATACATTCACCCCAATCAACTTATTTTCCAACTCATAATTCTTTCCGTATATGATCCTTAATAAGAATAATCATAATATAAAAACAACATATCTCTCGGCCTTTATTTGTATATTCTCTTACCCAAACCCT